GGATCTGGCGAGGGAACAAGCTGCCTTCAAAACAGATGATCAAACAGGCGGAAGTCGAAGCCAAATTGCTGGAGACAAGGAGTCTGGTGGACGATGGGTGGAAAAGGGACAGACTGGCAATCAAGGACGTGGATGACAGGCCAGCGAGACCGGACAGTTGGAACGCCAATCCCAAGAACAATTTGATGTTCGGCCCGGATGGTGTGGACGACGACTACGAGAGCCCAGCTCAGAAGGCGCAGGCCCAATCGATGATGCCGCCTAAATCGATCAACTATCAGAACACGAGGGTACCGCAGCCAGCAATCGTAGAGAGGCCTCCATCCCCGACGCTTTCTGCTGTGAGAGACGCGATCGCTGGCAAACCCCGTAAAGAAGATCTGGCTTCGAGCGCTGTAGGGGGTGGAGAGACACCGAGAGTGAATGGATACGCCTTTGTGGATGACGAAGACGACGACGACCAAGTTCTCCCTGCGCCCGTAATCAACCTCGGTCCTGGTGACGCTACGCCAAATCCATTCAAGCTGCAAGAGCACAGGAAGCGAGAGACTTTGCATCACCGTCTAGTTGAGCGGTCAGCGCATTCCAAAAGAGAGTCTGTGAAAAACGGGTTGACTGGAAAGTTGGACAGAACACCAGTGCCCAAGTTCCCGTCCAGTCCGCGGGTCTCGGGCGGTCTGACGCCTGCTGCCCAAAGGCTGTGGGGGAAGATCGGCAGCCCAAGGCCAGGTAGTCCGCATACTTCATCTTTGAAGGCGACACCCATGCGGGCAAGAGGCTCGCTTTTGAAGGGCGGCGCCTCGGCGACAAGGGATTCAACACCAAAATGATTATACGAATAATGACCATGACGAGGGACCAGGGATAGACTAGAGATACCACTGCAGGACAGCTGACAAGGAGCACAAAGAGAAGTCAAATCATTCTATATTTGAACGACGAGCATATACATTGAGACACTGACCAGTTTTGCGTGCAAAAGTAAGTAGGTAGTGTCGTCGAATCATTGGCCTATTTGGAAATGCATGGTAGTTGGACAAATATGCTTTGATAGATGGCCCCGTTATACGCATGGTACTACTTCAAGCTACCTAGAGCTATCTTCTTTTGTTCTCTTTAGATGCATAAACCCGTCACTCAATTTTCCCACCATGACGAGGACCATTTGATAATCCCAGCATCTCCTGAAAGCCGCGAGGCCACCTGGATGTCAAAGGACTATCACTAAGACATGCGTGTAGCATAATTGAACAAACTATTTCCCCGATGAGGTTCGCCGATTTTGCTGTCGATTTGGCAGCTGTCCTCGGAGCTTCGCGCTCAGTCGCATCCAGACATGTTGCACTGAGAGGCCGACAGCTTGAGAGCTTCACTAAAGCCTCCAGCTTAACACGCAAATCCCCCACGGCACCTCAGCACACACGAGATGACGTCGCAACAGAAGCTGCGGCCTCCTTCGATATCTCAGGAGCTCAGCCGACAATCGAGAAAGAGACGCCGCCGTCAATGAAGGAATCGACACCTCAACCCAGTAATCCCTCGCTCACAACATCAAGCAGCTTCCAGCCCAATCTCAACAATGCAGCCCGTATCTCACCAAGCTCAGGGTCAGTCCTCTCTGAACTGAGGCAATCCAATCCTTCAGCTTTCCCTTTCCCAGGCGTATCACCATTGGATCAAAGGCCCAAGGATAACACCGTTCCTGCAGGGTCTTCAGTGAGCAGGTCGGCGGCTCCGTACGGGGCTCCTGTCTCTGAAGAGGCAGACGATCTCCCTCAAGGTGTCAACGTCAACATCTTCCATAGTACCCGAGCCGCCAAATTGCTAGGTAAAGAGGGAGAATCAACAAAGGTTGATTTCGGTAACCGCAGGAAACTTCCACCCACAAAACTCCCCGAGTTTGTCGATTTCTCCAAGTTGTCCAAGGGTGCCGAGGCAAAGAAGTCAGATACCCCTGAGGACGCTCCAAGTACTTCTCGGCTTGCCCCTCAACCTGAAGTTGGCAAGAGCGAAGTTTTGAGAAGCGAAAACTCACCAATGCCTTCAGAGCCTCTGTCTGCAGCCGATGCCGCTACCGGCCCGGTATCGAAGGATGAACCTCCCGTCGAAGCTATCTTGGGCGCTGCGGTCGACCAAACAGCACCGCCTGCATACGCCCTCAGGGAATCCAGCGTGCCCGCCACGCGCCTAAGCAGACTTTGGAACTATGGCGGTCTGGCAGCAGGAATGATGGGTGGTGCCATCACCGAGAGCATTGGCAGAGCATTTGGCGGTGGTGGTGAGGGTTCAGTATTGCTCAGTGCCGGCAACATGGAAAGGCTCGTCGCAAAGCTGTCGAGAATGCGCGGCGCTGCCTTGAAGATGGGTCAGATGATGAGCTTCCAGGACACAAAGATGCTCCCGGGACCGATTCAGGAGGTTCTACAGAGAGTGCAGGACCGTGCCGACTACATGCCGGCCTGGCAGAGAGACAAGGTCCTCAAGGCAAATCTGGGTGCGGAATGGCGCGAGCTGTTTGAGGACTTTGAGGAGAAGCCCATTGCTGCCGCGTCCATCGGGCAAGTTCACCGGGCTACCTTGAAGGAGGATGGTCGCAAGGTCGCGGTTAAGATTCAGTTCCCTGGAGTCGCAGACTCGATCAACTCCGACCTCGACAACCTGGGCATTCTCTTGACCGCTACCAAGCTCCTACCTAAGGGCCTGTACCTGAACAAAACCATTGACAACGCGCGGCTCGAGCTGGGATGGGAATGCGATTACGAGAGAGAGGCGCAGTGCCTGATCCGTTACAAGGAGCTCTTGGCTGATGAGCCGGATACTTTCCTTGTGCCTGACGTTCATCTGCAAGCCTGCGGAAAGAATGTTCTGACCATGGACTGGATGGAGGGTGTGGGCGTCACCAGAGTCAAGTCGTTTACTCAGGAGCAGAAGAACTGGATCGGCACCCAGATCCTCCGTCTCTGTCTCCGGGAGATCACCGAGTTCAAGTTTATGCAGACTGACCCTAACTGGACAAACTTCCTCTACAACGCCAAGACAAACAGGCTAGAGCTTCTCGACTTTGGCGCTTCCCGGGAGTACCCCGACGAATTTGTTACCCAATACGTTCAGCTCCTTGCCGCGGCCTCGAGGACCGACCGGGACGAAGTGAAGCGTTTGTCTGAGAGCCTCGGATATCTTACAGGCCACGAGAGCAAGCTCATGGTGGACGCCCACGTCAACTCGGTGCTCACCCTGGCGGAGCCTTTCCTCGGCTCAGCACCCGAAGTCTACGATTTCCACGACCAGACCATCACGGAGCGCGTCAAGGCTCTTATCCCCGTTATGCTCCGTGAGAGACTTGCGCCACCACCCGAGGAGACTTACAGTCTGCATCGCAAGCTGAGCGGCGCGTTCTTGCTTTGCGCGAAGCTCGGCAGCAAAGTCAGGTGCCGCGAGATGTTCGAGGAGAGTCTGAAGAAGAACGGATATAATGCTTAAGGGAGGCATACGAAGAACTACCCCCAATCCACTTTGTACCATTTTGTATCATAACTGTACGATCGATGTGTAGACACACAATACAGGAGGATTATAGACAAAACAAAGGACCTTCCGCAATGCGTTCAAGGGGTTCATGACTCGAATCAAAGTACGCTGACAATGTCTGCTCATTCCCTGGGTCTCCTCTGCATCTTGTCGAGCTCCTTCCGCTCCCTTCCAACAACCTTCTTCCTCTTCCGCTCAATTGTACGGTCGACCTGTTTCTTCTTCATGCCCGCAAACTGGTCCATCAAGAACCTCTTCTTCTGCTCCGACTTCTTGAGGTAGAACGGCTGCTTGCCCTCCTTGACGAGCTCCTTCTCCTTGCGTTTGTGCTCCTGAATGACGTCGTCCGCGCGCTGCTTGCGCTCCCGCGCCTTCATCTTGCTCTCCATCGACAGCAGCATCCTCTTCATCTCCTCCTTCTTGTCCGCGTCCTTGGTCTTCTTGATCTCGGCCCGCAGCTGCTTCATCTCGTCCTTGCGGTAGTCGTCCAGGAAAGCGTACGCCCTCCGGGCCTTGGACTCGTCGACGGGCCCGCTCATCGGGTCGAAGCGGGGGTCGCGCACCTCCATCTTGGGCACGGCGATGATTTCGCGACGGCGGGAGACGGGCTTCTTGCTTGACTGCTCCATCGGGGCGTGCTTGCTTGAGCGCTTGACGTGGTCGCCATGCTTGGGTTTCCTGCCGACTTCTTCCGGACCCGAGTCTGAGTTTTCGTCTTCTGAAGGTGATGCGCCGCGCTTGCGACGTTTGGCTGACGGCATTGAGGCCTGGGCTTTTGCGAGGGCGCCAAAAGACACTGATGAAATGTCGATGTTGGACTTCTTTGGCGGTGGTGAGGCATCGGACTTTGAGCTGTTAGTAACGATTGCAGTAGTTTTACGGCTCGAAGTAAATACTTCTTCGTTGTCCTCTTCCATATCTTCATTCTCTTCGTCTTCACTCAACTCTTCTCCATCCATTCTCATCTCCTCCGGCTCACTGCTCGTCTGCTCATCGACTTCAGGTTCTGCTTCTCTACGAGGCCTCACACGGCGCTGAAGGCCTGAAAACCCTTGCTTCCTCTTTCCAGACAGCATTTTGTATCGATTTTTTTTGATTTTGTGAAGCTGAAAGGTGCACTAAATGATATGCTCGTAGTGTGAAGGGCCAGAACTCACATGAAGCAGGCTCGCCCACACCTCGAAGCAACTTTTCAGTGGGTCAGAGTGACCAGCGACCTCGTATCGATAAGAAACGGCAACTTATCGATAACATCTGCCTCACAAACTTCCATCATTCCTTTCAATGCGATTTCCCAGCAAGAACAATTACCTCTCCACTAATCGCATCGAAGACAAAAAAAGACCCTGAATACGCTCCGAACAGTATATTCGACCTGCACCTAACTACAACGGAAGCAGCTAGACCAATCTTATTTCACATTCAGCTCAATTGACTTCGCCTTCCCACTTCGATACCCAGCCCATCCATCCATGCAACCTTCTGTTCCCCGGATATTCGCCAGATCGCAACAGATCCACCAACGTTGCTTCTACAAAACCGTCGCGCGCAAGCGTCCAGGTCGCCCACCCCGCGACTGCCCTCCAAAAGACACACTCTCCGAATACAATAACAAACCTTACCTTCCCTTTCCCACGACTCCCTCGCGCGATTCGAGGCTCGTCTACACTCCACACAAAAGCATGTCCGACCTACAATGGTGGGCCAAGCCCGCCCCGGCCATGGCCGCCCCGTCAAACCAGCAGCCGAGCAGTAACGGCTTCACGATACCGGGTCTCGGCAACGCCGCGAACGTTCCCTTTGCCTCGACCTCCGCGACTCCTCTTCCTGAGCAATCTTCCAACGGAAACCAACCCACAATTCCAAAGGGACCTCGCAAAGCGTTCGTCCCCCCCCCTTGTTGCATCCTGTCTCTATGTGGTCCATTACCCTCCTCCGATGCTGTCGCAAAGTCTAACATTCCATCTCTGTCAACAGAGCCGCGGCGCCGCACAACCGTGATAAGATCATAGCCCCCAGTGCCGCCTCAGGCGGCGTTCCGAACCCCACGCCGCAATACCTCCAGCAAGCCTCCATCCCGCCGACCCTCGTCCCGACCCCTCGACCGATCCTCGTCGTAATGGACCTCAACGGCACCCTCCTCTTCCGACCCAACCGCCGCAACGCCGCAAGCTTCGTCGAGCGGCCCCACGCGAAGCGCTTCCTGCAATACTGCCTCGACACCTTCCACGTCGTCGTCTGGTCCTCTGCCCAACCGAAGAACGTCCAATCCATGTGCGACCAGCTCCTCCTCAAAGGCGGCCTCGGCGCCGCAGACACCCATGAGGAGCGAGCCTCGTACCGCCGCCGCGTGCTGGCCGTCTGGGGACGCGACAAGTTCGGCCTCTCCGAGGCCGACTTCAAGCTCCGCGTGCAGGTCTACAAGCGCCTGGAGATGGTCTGGGCCCAGGCCAACGTGCAGGCGGCACACCCAGACGCCGCGTACGGCGGCCGGTGGGACCAGACCAACACCGTTCTCGTGGATGACTCCCTCGAGAAGGCGCGGAGCGAGCCGTACAACCTGCTGCAGATCCCCGAGTTCTTTGGCGACGCCAGCGAGCCGGGCTACGTGGTGCCGCAGGTTCATGATTACCTCAACCAGCTCTGTTACCAGTCGGATATCAGCGCGTATATGCGCACGAATCCGTTCCAGCTGAACGACGCATACAGGCTAGAGTAGCAGCAAGAGGGTCTTGTGCAGGGCCCAGCGTAGAAAATTGACGGAGAAGGAGTCTTTGGCAGAACCGGGACATATGCGAGGTTGGGAAGAAAGACACAGAATACGGAGATAAGACTTGGTAGCATCGAGATACCCCTTAGCATGAGCTTATGGAAGCATCACTTTCAATTCAAAAAATATGCGTGTGGAGATTAGTGAAATTGAAAAGTGTTCTTTTGATTTTGATCAGGAACAACCTGCATCTTTTGCCTCGTCCTAGTGACTCAGACCTAGTAACTTGACACACAGCCGTGGGCATTACGCACAGGATATTCCTCTTCGGGTCCATAACATCATCTGCACACCCTCCTAGCCTATTCGTAAACTCATTTCATCTCTGCCATAAGCCATGAATTTGGATCACTCCGTTGAGCGATGCGCTTATTTGAAGACCTTGCCGTCGGCAACGGGGTACTCCTTGCCGTTGTGGGTAATGGGGGCCTCCCATCCCCAAGAGTCAGAGACGAACTTCTTGGTCTCGGGTGCGGAAGCGTCAAGCTTCTCGAAGTCGTAGCTCTCGTAGTCGGGAGCGACATCGAAAGCGGGCTTGTAGTCCTGGCCACGGACGACGAAGGCGCCCTCGATGACGGAGTCGTTGTTGGTGCCGTAGACGGCAGCGCATCCGAAGATGAACTTGCGGGAAGCCTCAAGACGGTTGTTGAAGCCGCCGATGAGGTTGTTGGACATGAAGGTCATGGTGAGCTCGTCGTTGTACTTGTACTTCACCTTCCAGAGAGAGAACTCCTCGAGGTTGACGTTGTCCCAGAACCACTGCATGGCCTCATCGTGGTTCTTGATGTTGGAGTACTGACGCTTCCACTCCTCAAGGTCGAAGGTGGCGCGGGGGAGCTCAGCAAGGGGGTGCTTGGGCTTAGGGGCGGCGGGAGCCTCCTCAGCAGCGGGAGCGGGGGCAGGCTTGGGGGCAGCCTCCTTCTTGGGCTGCTCAGGCTTCTTGGGGGCGACGTTGGTCAGCTTGGGGGTCTCGAGGAACTCCTGCTTCTCGGTGACGGCGGTCCAGATGTCCTGGTTGATGATGGTCTGGTACCAACGGGTGACGTTGGGGTTCTCCGCGCGCCACGCCTTGTCGAAGAAGAACTCGAAGCCACGGGCAATGATGCCAGCGGCGAAGAGGTCGGCGAGGGTGATGCGCTCGCCAACGAGGTAGGTGTTGCTGAGGAGGTGCTCCTCAATGACCTTGATGGCCTTGAGGGCGACCTTGGAGGAGTCCTCAACAGCCTTCTTGTTGTAGGGGTCCTTGCCGAGGAGAGGGCGGTACCAGGCGCCCATGGGGGGGAGGACCTCGGAGTTCACAAAGGACATCCACTTGAGAATGGAGGCGTAGCTAGATGAAGAATTGTTAGCCTCGTACTTCTGAGCTTAACGAGAGAAAGATGCGCCTCCGGTGCACTTACTCCTGCTTGGTCTTGCCGAGGAGGGTGGTCTTTTCGTTCTGAGAGGTGACTGTGGCATTTCGTTAGCTCTTGCTACACAAACGATATCTAATAGTGAGTAGACGGTGCCAATGGTAGGATCAGAAATTTAGACTATGTCAACAAAGAAATTCAGACAGGGATAACTGTATTTGAAAAAGCTTGATCATCATATTGCGAATCGTGGGATGTTGTTTGTGTGTTCGAAAAACGAAACCGGCAAAGTATGACTCAGAACGTACTGTAGATGGCAATGGCGATGCACTCAGAGAGAGGGTAGCCATCCTCGCCAAGGAAGGCGGGGACCTTGCCGAGCTTGTTGGCCTTGAGGTGCTCAACGGAGGGCTTGGTAGGGTCAGCCTCGATGAACTCGAGGTCGACGTTGTTGGCCTTCGCGACGGCACGGATGGCCGTGGTGCGGGGGTTAGCCTGGAGGGGTGACGATATTCGTTAGCGATCAGATTCCTAGACATCGTGAAGTTGAAGAGTAATTTGGGGCTCCTTTTCTTACCGGGTAGGTGAAGAGCTTTCCGAACGCCATCTTGAATCAGTTGTTTGACCGAGAGGGATGGAAGGGTATCAAAAGGTGCGTGATGTGATGGACAAGAGAGAGGAGAGAGAAAAGTTCAGGTTCCCCGCCAGGGTGACAGTAATTTTTTTGAATGAAATTTCGACCGCAGTGCCCCGCCACCCGAAAGCCCCTCGCTCGATTGACGGCAGCTCGAACGCCAGGGCAACCAGCTGCGGTCTGTGAGGGGTAAAGTGCAGCAAGAAAGGGTCCAAGCGCCTGTGGCGCTGACGCCACATCACGTGACCAGATCTTCGTCCGATGTTCTGCCGTAACCCAGCTACGAAGCTAGGAAAGATTTCTGTCTATTGGCGTTCAAGGCTGTCTCCATTTCACGATATCGCGACAGCAACCGCATCAACGAGGGCGCTGCTCGAGGTCCCGCAACAATGTCGAGCTTACGCCAGGGCCTGCAGCAGACGCTCTGCTTGCGCCAACTGGCAAAGGGTCAGTCGATGAAGCCTCAATGGCAACGATCGAGCCTGCAATCGAGCTTCAAGAGCCTGTCGACTACGAGCGATCCTCAAGTTGAAAACAGCGAACCCAAAATCGACACAAAGCTGGATTTGCCTCCCCAGCGGCCTTTTGACGGGATTACGAAGGCTCGTCCACTACCCGTCTCGCCATCCTACTTCTCCAGAGAGCCTCGCTTCAACGACGCCTACATCCGACTTTCTGCTCTCGTGGAGAGATACCAGCACCTTCCTTTGGCGCCCCCGGAATTGGTCCCACGACAAATATGGAGGAACTTGAAGGGTTACCGACAGACCACTGGAGAACCAGTCAAGGCGATGCCCTTTAGCCAAGTTCTTAGCATGGTTAAGCGGCTGCATCAGATCCACCCCGGACTGATGCCCAGCGAGGTCAAAGAAGCCCTGCAGGAATTCAAACGCGATATCGACCCGTACAAGAATGTGGCCAAGGTTGTGCCTCTCGACAGATATGGACGCGCTTTAGGTGTTGGCCGCAGGAAGACGTCGAGCGCCCGCGCTTGGGTTGTGGAGGGCACTGGAGAGATGCTGATCAACGGCAAACCCCTGAACGAGGCATTCGGCAGAGTTCATGATCGTGAGAGCGCCATCTGGGCGCTCCGGAGCACTGCGAGAACAGACAAGTACAACGTGTGGGCACTTGTTGAAGGCGGCGGTGTGACCGGACAGGCCGAGGCTCTTACGTTGGCAATTGCCAAGGCTGTCTTGGTCCACGAACCAGGTCTTAAGCCGATACTAAGAAAAGGTAAGTCAACTCCCGTGGTGAGAGTGATCTTCGGTTTGTTGCTGACAAGTTCAACGCTACAGCTGGCTGCATTACCCGCGATCCTAGACAAGTTGAGAGAAAGAAGCATGGTCATGTCAAGGCCAGAAAGATGCCCGCCTGGGTCAAGAGATAGAAATCTCTTTCAATGTGTGGAGTTCATGATGGCATCGCCAGGCAATGTTCTCATCTTGTTGTTGTACTACCACCCCCGTGTATTCATAGAACAGAGGCAGCTCTTACAATGCCAGCCTATGATGTATACTTGCCTCATGTCCCATATCGGCGGGCGAATTCCTCTCAAAGGGAATTACTTCGTAATATGTGAGCCCAAATTACGCAAAGGAACAATTCGGCTAGGGCACAGCTACGACACAGCTTGGACACGGTAACTCCGGTCTACCTGCTCGGCACAGCTCGCAGTCTCCTTGTACCAGCACGGATCCAGAGGTGTTGGAGCTTTGGACGAGTCTGCTATCGGTACTACCGGCTGCGCTTGATAGCTGGAAAGCAAATTGCAGGCATGAAGAGATGAGGAATCATATCCGGCAACACACTAGTTGAACGGGTTGACAGAAAGCGGTCGGTTTAGCGTCAACGCTCTTGCTACCACGCCTTGATACCTGATCCATGCAATTCGCGGAGAAGCAACGTGGTGTCTTCGATTCTAATTGTCCTTATCCCAACTGCAACTGATAGACAACAGACCTTGGACCATGAATCAACGCAAAAGTCAGAGTTAACAACCAATTTGATTATTAGATGGTTCAATGTCAGGATCTGGAACCTAGTGTTGGAATGCTCAGGACCGACATTCGGAAGCGCGCTTTAGGGCCACCCTCTATGTCCTGCCGTCATTGACCGCAGTGGTGGCAGTAACTATTGTCGCGACAGAGATGTCTTTTGGCTGATACGGTTCATTTAACTAGCGCGTGCAATGACCACTTGCAACGGTTGTACGTGTACCTTACGGAGCGGCCGTGAAAGGTTTTTCGGCGCGCATTGAAACTGGGTCTGAGAGAGAGTGAAGGTAGCCCCCGTGTGTCATTATCAGGCCAGAATCATAGACCACAAGCTGGCACCTGTGTAAAGCTGCGGGCGGGTTGAAGATGTGGACGTTATTAGAGGGGTCCGTGAGCAAGCGCGTTGACATCTCTGGCGTCAAGGCTAGTGATGGCGCCCCTATTGCCAACGTTGCAGAAGTGCGTCCGCCGAGGGCCTTGTTTCAATTTCCCACACAAGGTAACCCCTAAAGGAGACGACAGCGAGAGCACAGACGTTCAAGCCTGTCCTGTCCTCCGAAGGTTTCTAGAAGCATGGCACGAGTAAATCGAAGGTTCGTGGAGCTGGTTTCATCTTTTGGTGGCCGTTTTCGGTGACGGCTTTGTTCTTCCGGTGATGGGTTTAATCGGAGGGTCAAGCTGGAGATGGTGGACAGCACGACTCGGCTGGTTTCGCCGCATCAGGCAAGGCGGCACTTGAGATGAGCAGGCCGTTACTATTGCCATGTACGTTTTGGACAAGAACGTGGGAGAGCATGGGGCGTATATCCCGATGCAAGGAGGGAACGACAAAGGTTCTGAACCAATCGACCGACGGGCGAGGCGCAATAACGGTAGCGGCAGAGGCGGTGATGGCAGCTTGAGACGACGGGATGGGGTGGTGGGTAGTGGTTTGTGGTTTTGGGAGGGAGGCAAGATCGGAACAATGCTAGACGATGCGATAACGAGGCTATTGAGCTCGAGCTGCCAACGTGTGCTCCAAACACCCTCCGACGTTACATTCTTTTCTGAGGCCATGTGCTTGAGTGGATGGAAGATCGGACTGAGGTTGGGGAAGGATCTCTCTGCGGGCTGACTTTCTTTTGGCGAGTGAGCATCTCATGGTGAGCTCCGGGGATCAACCAGGCGTCGATTGAGATGATCGACGGTAGTCGCCTTGTGTGAGGCTGAGATCGGCCCAAGAACATCCAACGGCTGCGTGACGGGCCAGACCATGCCGAGGAAGAAAGGATTGGAGCCTTGGAGGAGGGGTGAAGTACACAAACACATGCACACGCTAGGTCTGCCACACCACAATCGCAGGTGGCTACCTAGCACCTTGGAAGCATGCTTCAGGGTGTGTGTGTAGATGGAAAACGTGATCTCGACTAGAGCAAAGACGGCGATTGGGCGCCTCTCGTTCGACCGTTGGCGGTCAGTTTCCAAGGCACGACGCCCATCTCCGCTGAGTCGGGCCTTCAGTTATCTGGTAGAAGATTCGCTGTCCAAAGCTGTATTGTTACGGCTACAGACAGACGGTATTTGACAAGCCTCGGGTGACGAGTCGGGGATTTGGAGGGACGGCGCCGGCTGAAAAGCAGGTGACGGTGCTTTGTTGAAACCATCTGCTACGTCGTCTTAGGTAAGGCGGCGTGAAGGTTGCTGGAGACTCCCCACGTCAGCCGACCTCACCTTGAAGCGATGCCGCAAACGCAGATGGCATACCTAAGCGCGGTTCTGAACGTTCTTAGCGCGCTTTACGCAGGCTTTGCTTGTCCAGACTCCAGCGCGGTGCCATGGTGCCTTGCATCCGGAGTTTAAGTTGCTGCGGTAAGGTAGCCGTAAGCCGTGCCTTGAGTCTTGAGAAGCCTTGGATGCAGGCAGCTGGTCCCCCGATGAGCTAGGTAGGTTGGGAATGCAATCAACCCGACTGGAAGAGGAGGAAGAAGTGGGCGGGAGCGTCCCAGCGTAAGAAGTATGGTTGGGCCATTGAGTTCGTGCTGCCCAAGGCGTGTGGGCAAGCGCTTGATTGGCACTCAACGCTGTAACCACACGTGCTTTATCTGGTCCAAGGTTTGTCGTCTTGGCCTTGGTTCTTGCGTCTGCAGTGAGTACTAGCGCAAGGTAAGGTAGTTCGGGCAAAAAGACAGACACCGAGTAAGGTCAGGACGGAGACACGATGTATCGAAAGGCCGGCGGCGTGTGAAGAAGGTGTTGGTGTAATGGCGTATATTTCGGTATGGTGTGGTGTGGTGGAGCAGACAGCACGAGGGGCGGCAGAATGAGTGGACAATGGACGCTGGACTTTGGAGACTGGAGACTGGAGAGGAACGGTGTTCGAATGTCAAGAGAAAGACTCCAACGACATCGAGGGAAAATTAATCGTGTTGGAGAAACTCCGCCCCAGTCCCCCAGTGGTACTTAGAATGCATTAGCCGGACGCAGCGTTTGACTTTGGAGAAGAGCAGGAAACCCGTGGGCCGCTAGACCTATCGGGTATTCGAGGGTTTGAACTAAGCTATTACTCCGTGTCTACCTTACCTTGGTGTGAAGAGCGTGATATGTACACCCGACGGCACTTGATCCGGATGTCTTGCTCGTCTCCTTTTATCTTTACTCCGAATGCCTTACCCGAATGTATCGTACCCGGGGGAGCAATGATGAAGTAGGTAAAGCATAAGCGCGGCGAACGCAAGCTTTCCATTTCCATTGCATGAACCAAAGTATTTTGTATCTGGCTTCGTCGGGTGATAAGGTAGGTAGTACCGATGTACTTGCAAGTTACACAGACGGATACTGCCCGCCCTTGGATGTCGTAGTAGTAAATGGAAGTATGGAAGGTGCGCTGAGATGTTCTTTCCCGAAATAGCTTCCCCGACGTTCCAACTTCCTGCCTCAGTTGATACTATATTTTTTGAGGCCCGTAAGGCGTCAACAGTACGTACATACCTATTCTATTGGGGAGGCGCGTCCCCTGCATCAAGGCACTCGATCTCCCAAAATGGAAGGGGCAAAAGCTCGCCTCATAGCTCACTTCTATCAGCCACCTCACACGACAATAACCGTCATCTACCTTACAAGGCAATTTCCATATCTTACGTGTGTAGAGGTACGATGCTACGGGTACGGATACAAGCGATGAAGCGACCTTGAACACTCGGACGTCTTCTCTCACATCTCATTACGCTGGATCAGAGCTGTCGTGATGAAATCTCGTCGAATTGTGGATCCCAGCCCCCCGAAATGCAGGCTCACGCACGGCATTGGTAATGGGAGCATATCCGTAGCGGAACCGCAATGTTTTTCACCGGAGATGTGAGGCCCACCACATCGCGGCATCTCACAACGTCTGTGAGCACTGAGCCCCAGACCACAATTTCGTTCCCCTGCGTCTTGATGCCGCGGAAGCAACGCAAATACGTCCGGGTCAACCTACGTCCGAATCGCGCGCGCTCGACCCTCACCCGACCTCACCTCAATACTCCGTACATACACGGTACGGATACACCTCATCTCATCCGCCCTGAGCCTTCAGGTGCAGTACGAAGTACTCGGGCTGAGGTAAATATTGCGTATGCGCAGTCTGGACTATGCACCGCAATTTGGTGGAAAGCATGCTTACTCAAGGTATCCGTACGGATACATCCACCACTGCCACACACCCAGGCTTGACAAACGACCCCATGAACAATACAACTATAGACACATCATGCCTCGCCAAGGGGAGGCACAGAACCTTACTGGGAGAAACTTGGTGGTAAGGCAAGGTCTGGTCGTTTTTGCCGTGTCCAGGGAGCGTTCCGACTAATGCAATCTCAAATGACAGAGGACACTCCGACTGCAGGTGCTCATCACCTCCCACCTCCTCCTCGTTTGCCGAAAGCCAAGTACCAAGCGAGGCTGGTTGGGTTTTGCTCCTGTTCCTGAAGCAAGCAGTTGAGAAGCTTTCACACCACCTCTCTGGGCTGAGTTCCACACAAGACCAACCGAAGCCATCGTCCAGCCAGATGCTGCATCGAGCTGCCAGGCGAACCCCACCTTCTCGACCTCTGCAACATTCGCAATAGAGCAATGGGAGCCATTCACAGGCCTGCCCGTCCATGTGTGAAATGTGTTGTATTCAGGCACGATCCCTGAATCGCTAGGGCTCCTCCTCAAAAGGGCCCCGACTAAGAGGAGAGGGGACCAGAGAGGGGGTGACCTTCAACCCTGCAGCTGCAGTAGGAGCAGCCATATCCACAATGTACAGATACATTGCCGCGTTCCGTACACTCCGAACCACTCAAGCAAGGTACCGGCACTCGTTCAGGAACCCACAGAGCCCAGGTTTGCAACCCTGGCTGCCTGACCGGGGTCTTGCATCGACCTCTTCGACCTCACTTGCTAAGTTGCTCCCCGTCTAATCCTTTCTGGCGCTCACCTATATGCCCCTTGGCACGCTCGACATTCGCGCAAGGTTCATGGTTCTTGTCTTTCATCAAGGCCAACGCGTGTTCACTTTGCAATCACCAAGGTACCTATACCTACGATTCAAATATCTCCGTCTCTATTTACCTGCGCACCATGCAAAGTACTGCTCCTAAAAAGAAGGCTGCAATTGACTTGGAACTGCACAGATATGCACGTCCATCAAGTACTCCAAGGCCCGTCTGCATAATGTTCTTCTCGAATGAAAGTGTCAACGTCCGTGCCGCTTTCCCTTTCGTCTCGTGAAAGAATACCTACTCGGATGCACTTAGGGAAATGGCCATCCAAGACCGGTAAATCGAAAAGTGAGGCTTCCATCACCGCACCCATTGGGCATCGTCGAGTCTCACCAAGTCGCCGAACCTGGTCTGGTTCGGGCAGGTTATCAATACCATTCGGTTTTTTTCGCACTCGTCAGCGAAAGGGGGTTTCGAGTCCTTGTGTGTCAACTTGGCTGGCCCCCTTTCCAATATTCCAAATGACGGCTTGTCATTTTCATTTCTCGCCTTCCATTGGCTTCGAAGACTCTATCAATGAGAGACTCGCGGGAACGGAAGCCTCTTCCTGTCTGGTCTTGACTTGACAATTGCTCCACCGATTTCCTTTTAGCCCAATTTTTCTTGGGGGCCGACTCGGGCCATTTTCCATCTGGGATTTTTTCCCCTCACACGAAATCTGCAGTTAACGTGCAGTGTGTTCCCCCCCCCCCCCCCAAATCCGAGACGAGTCGATTTGCCTCGTTGCACATCGGTATCTCCCCCCAAGTTTGACTGAATCGCGACGAAAAAGCTGTTCCTGCTGGCTTCATTGGTGGCTCTGAAACCTGAGAAATCGGGCTTCAATTGTCAGCTTGAGGTTCGCTATCCCACACTGGTTTGACGCATATTATCAGAGGCCAAGCCCAAACAAGCGTCTCGAAGTCCAGTGGACGAGGGCTTGGCTATTGGCTGGAATTGGAGGCCATAACGAGTCGGGTTCCTTTGTAGGGATGCAGTTGCTGCACGATTCAAGTATCGAGTTTAGCTGGGACTTGGCTAGCTGGTCTGTACCGGCTAACGGTTACCCCATTCGCATAACGATGCGCTTCAAGTTCCGATTTCTTAGTCAACGAGGTTGCCAGCCAGGGCGAGAGACACTTGAAGCATGGTTTATCGTTGTCTCGAGCATCTGAAGTGTGAGAGATTCGACGGCTTTGTCATGCTCTCCCTAGTCTCTCCTCTTTTTTTTCCCTCCTCCGCTCCGAAGCTGACGATCAGTCTGTTGCTCCGCCATGGACTGAAGTGGGTGTCTACGACGACGATGTATGTACGTCATTCGGCATCGGCAGTGCATCGCCTCGCCTCGCCTCATCATTGAAGGGCTTTTTATCTGGGGTCTGAAGCTCTACCGACAGAAGCAATCGAAGCCAGGCTAATGAATACGGTGCCTCGAGGGTTCCAAATGGGACCCAGTGACAAGGCCTTTCGGCGGAAAACAATGTGCCGGGGAAAGAAGAGGGTAAAGGTGCTTCACAAAAGAAATGCAAGCAATTGTGTGGAAGAGTGGCTGGAGTGCGCTTCCCCCTGGCTGAGAGCCAGGGGAGGCGAAGGAGTACCTACGAACAAGGGTCACTGGGCTTGTCTCATAGAGGTAATAAACAACGCCCCCAAATCCAGCCATCTGGGTGCTCACAGACTTTTTTTAACTTTTACGATCCCTCCAGCTCATCGTCCAGGGGGCTCGTCATTGGCATCGCACCGAGGGGAAAGCAGTAGAGCAGGACAGGGACTCCGTATCATTCTCTCCATTCATTCAGTCTATCAGCTGTGATCTCTTGTCTCAGCTTCATCAGCAACCCGACCGCCTGCGGTCCCGATCGGAGGAACTCAAATCGTAGCTGGTATTATTGAGAAGAGGAGATGACGGATTAAGTCATGTCGATGACCCCAACTACTCAGACCCGCCCGACATCGAGCAGAAAATCGAAACGAAACGGGTCACAGTGTGGGCGGACACATTGACTTTTACAGACACCGGGGCCGAACTTTTCCAGAGCAGAACTGTAGAATGAAAGGGACAGTGGCATCCAACCATGCCAGGACTCTCTCGAGAGTCGATGCCCGATCAAGTAGGTAGAGTAGGAGACATGGCTTAAACACGAGGTACAGCAAAGCCAGTGACGATGAAGCAATACAAACTGACATAAGGTGCAATAGGCAAGTACCGTAGGTATGTCAGCCCCCGATGGGGTGTGAAAGAGAATGTAAGGGCGTGCTTCGAGCAACCCCATCACTGCCGCGAAACAGACGAGAGAAAACGAAGGGGTGGGAAGAATGGGAAGGGGACCAACAAGCAAGCTCAGCACACCCCCATGGCAGTCTTTCCCTGGCTGAGCCGGCTGCTTTGCTTCCATCTCATCCATCCCATCCCATCTCATCTCTCGTCGTCTGTCCGCCCGTCCGTCCTCTCGATACACTCTGCTGAGCCATACCTCTTGTCTCCCCCTCAATACTCCTCTCAGATACTGAGGAAGTGTGGAAGAAAAAAGAGAGCCGCCCGTTTGCCGCGTTTTTCATTGTATCGATATTTCCATCGACAACTGTCTATCGCCTATCTCTACTCATTCACACCGTGCCCCGTCGAGCTTTACTTATCCTGAGGTCATCCGTACTACCAGATCAGACCGCCCAACTCTCACGAACAATAACGCACCAGCGATTACCGTAGCAAAATCCAAAGCTCTCTGCGGCTTTACATTCTAGAGTCCTGCAGACGAACCCAGCGCAAGGCACCTGACAAGACCTGACTCTGTGCTCGCAAACTAGCCCCGGTTATGGGGTGTGAGCCAGTTGGCTTTAGCTCTGCTGCATAAGCCTCTTTACTCTTACCACCTTTGACTCTTCTGTCTTTCTCTTACACACACACACACACACACATACGCGCACCCACCTTCGCTCTTCTCTCTCTCTTCATCTACTTCTCTCCAAACACCTCGTCTCGTCATTCTTACTCGGGGTAGTCGTAAAGTGTTACAGCACGCACTGCAGCGGTCACCTGTCCAGACTTACCCGGCCAGTTCAAGTCTTACTTGCCTGCCTCTCAAGCCGTTTGCTCTCTTTCTCTTGCTCTTCAACTCAGCAACAATCGGAAGGAAAGATACATCAGATACAACTACCTCTCCCAAGTCTTCGTATCTCACACCCCCTTGCCATCCGCCTATCCTGCCTCTACCCATCGTCGGCGCCAACACAAGCACAAGCCCACCCTCCATTGCAAGAGAGACACTCGATCGCCCACTCACACTCAGTCTCTCGCACCCACGTCAATGTCCACACCCATCAATCATCTATCGCCTGCATCTCGTCCATTTTTGTCCACTACGCCTTCTTTACCAGACAGCCGGTTGCCAACCAGGGAACCCCCATCTTTCGACATTGCCTTGCAGATCGCTGCATAAGGTGCCTCGTTCGGCCGGGTGTCAGCTCCAACTTCATCTCCCCAACTCCAGATCCAGCTCGAGGTTCTCGACGTCGTTCGACAACTATATCCATACCTTATTAAAGATTCAAAGCTCCATCTCGCAGCTTCGTTCCGCTACGGCCGCTACTTTGCTCTGCTGGTGCCGCACTTTTACTCTTTTGCCCGCAGTTCTCTTGCTGGGCTGCCACGCGCATTTGGACCAGGGCAATCCTTTTGGAGAAGACGAACTTGTCAGCAGGCATTGAGCCAGTTCGACCTCTTCACCTTTTTTTTTTTTTTTGAGGTAAAACCACTTTTAGATTACATCTGGGTCTTCCTGGCGCGGTACGAGGTCCAGCTTGTTTCTCTTTGGGGCCATCTAGCCGCACTTGGATTGAATCTGCCCTACCTTACTCCACGGAACGGATACTTCCTCGACCACGGCGCTGTCTGCCGGGTTCATTACTCTTTTGCTCTGCATTACACTACAATCAACCGACCGGTAGTGGTACTTCCTGGGCTCCTCTCGCTCGCCATTGTCTCTGCCACTGGCTTCGGGTCTTCTTTTTTAGTCCCATCCGTCCCCTCCTCCCGGCACAGACTTCCTTGGGCTTGGTCTACCTAGCTTCCATCATTGGTCTGTTCCCCTTTGGATTGGAAGGCAAGTGCTTGCTTGTCTCTTCTTCTTTTTCACTCTGGCAGCAGCTGCTTGTCTTCCCGCCTCACCTTAAGTTCCCGGGCCTCACTCTCACTCACACACACACACACTTCTTCCCATGTATCAATGTCACTCACTCACTCACACCCACCTACCTAGTTACCCCCATTTTAGTCCAGGTCTCTTTGGATTATCATTGCTTTTTTTTCATCTGCCCTCTTATTACTTTTTTTTCTCCCCTCACTCCCTACTTACACCCTTCCTTTAATTCTGATCCTGCCGGCATCGACCCATATCTGCATCCCTCCCATGTTATAAGACCAACCCCGAGACTACCGTTCACGTCTTCCTCCACACCAACACCCCGAACCCGCCCCATAACATCTCTCACATCGTCACAAGCTTACCCAGTTCTTCCCTGTCAGGCAAAAGCAGAACCCCCTTCCCCTCTCCAAGGCTACATAGACTCGCGTCTAGCCTCGCAGCACTAAACTACGAGCAGTAAAAGTGGTCCTCGGTCTTGGTCCATCCACATCACGAGCCTCACCACAAGCCCCATATCCCTCTACCCAGCACACGGCCGCACAGCCTCTCTCAAGGCTCAAGGCCCAAGCCTCGGGTCACCAACCTCACCTCAAGACCAGATCGGTCCGCCCGACGCTTGCTCTTGCTCTGACGAATCGCATCTTGCGTCAAGGCGACACGGTGGTCGCTGAGACCCTGGTGCGGCTTCATTGCCCAAGCAGATCGCGCAGGGACCGGCTTGTAATGTTGGACATCGTGGTGCATGCTCCATCCAGGATCTTCCTGGTATCAAACCTGACACCAGTTTGACAACTCAGCGCGATATCCACCCCATTCGCTGGCTTTTTGTTTACCAAAATCTAAACTTCTCTGACGACTCACAAGACACCAACGACTCGTCGCCAGTCTTCGTCTAGTCTTCCCGAACCTTCAGGCGTCAGGGCATGAAGAGGACCGGCGCTAGCTTCGCCGAGCTGGTCGCGACAAGCAAGTCTGAACAGTTAACTTCCTTGTTCTCCCCATCCTTTACTCTATCCGCCATCTTCCCTCCCAATTCAATTCATAAAAGCCACTTCTATTACCCGCCGCCCGAGGAACCTGCCAGCCCATCCCGTGCTGCCCTTTGCCCGGCTCGACATCAGACAGACCCTACATCGGCATCACACATCAGGCTCTCCGACCCCCAGGTCCAAGTCAACGCTTCCTTACCTTTGTCTCTTTTGACATCTTGGAATCCATCGGCACCGACCTTGCCTCGCCATTATTAAGGCTCGCGACGTTACCATCCGCCAGTACCGCCTGGTCGAGTCCAGACCTCTGTCTATTTTCACTTTGCGCGACACGTCGACAACTCATCTTGCTTCGCGGAGCCATATACACCTGGACAAAATAGCTCCCCACGTCGTCCGCTGTCATCAGCAAAGAAATTTCGTTACACGCCACCGCCTGGCTATCTTGGACACGCTAGTCCCGGAGGAAGACAAGGCAAGAGGGAGAGGAACGCAGTAGCGTTTAACGGACCCCAACACGACAATTGGACGGTCTTGTGACCGGTCCGACGGCCCAAACTGGCCTTACTGTATACATCGCCAGCTCCGTTGCCGCCGGCGCATACGGTAGGCTTGCCCTCGGAGCCGACCGGCGACCAAACCCCTCGTGGGATGGATGATCCCAATCGCCGTCGGAGGCAGAATGAAGCGCCCATGCATCCCACCTCCAACCCAAGATATAACGTACAACAGCAACAACAACAGCAACAAGACCCTTTGCAGCAGCGCCGCAACATGGCTACAGGTTCGACCGAGCGATACAACAGGCCAGCGCCACTAAACACTTCGCCCTCGCAGGCGCGAGGCATGGGAAGCACGGGTAGCTACAGCACCTACAATTACCAAGAGCCGGTAGCAGGCTCTTTCAACGCGCCCATGGCGGCGAACACTATGCATTACCCCTCAGGATATAGCCAGGACGGCCGTCCGGCGCAGAATTTCGGTGGATACAACGCGGCCATGACGATGGGATACGACAACCTGACTGGTGCGACGGGCTCCGTCTACGATAACCAGGCGCAATTTCAACGGCAGCCTGCAGCTGCTCCGATCTTGCCGACAGACGTGTCGACGTCGTACTTCTCCAATGACCCGAGTAGTAGCACAGGAACCTCCAACCTTCCCCATGCGCAACCGGCGAGCGCCACGGCGACGGCATATCAACAGCCACAGATGGCCAACTACCAGGCAAACATCCCTAACGTCGGCGCGATGCCACAGCAGACTTCGAGTGCCGACGTGTCAATGGAAGAGCAGGACTATTCTGCCACAGGCGGCCTGGAAGAAAAATGGATGGAATACCAGTCTGCGCTGCGGGGTGTCTTCCAAAATGTCCGCAATGGTGTGCTCGAAAGCGCCAGCCAGTCACTTCTGGATGTGTCAAACTGGCTCCTGACGCAGGTCGTCGATCTGGGTATGTTGGATCCCCCCCCCCCTCTACTCTGTTACTCGCGCCAAGCTCTGGATTGGAGTTTCGGGTTCTTCTGGTTCAGATTTACTAATGCAATGACAATTCACAGGCCTCAACCTGGACGACCAAAATTTGCATGGAGACCGAATCAAACTATGGAACGACTTCAATCACGCGTGGCTCTCACTATTCCAGATGCAGAAGGATTTGATGGAGCCGGGCAGACAGCTGCAGCGATCGCAGACCTTGGTCCCCAAGGAAGGCCTTGAAAAAATGGGCAAAGAGCTCGTCCGGCTTTGCGACGGCATTGAGCGCCATGGTCTGGTCGACTACCAATACGGAGTATGGGAGCAGCAGATCATAGAGAGTAAGCCCCCGGACGATCCCAACTTTGTACGTCGTGTGAGGGAAGGCATCCATGCTGACAATGCCGTTCCTAGTCATCGAAGCTTGCCTCGACCAGTACGAGGCAAATGAAGAATCGAGCGGCAACGGCGGCGGCGGAGCTCAAACGGGGTCCGGCTCTCATCAAGGAAGCAGATAAAAGGAAGACTTGGGGTTTAGTCGGCTGCTTCGCCCTGAGATCAAATCCCAAGAAACGTACATCTCAGGGCAATGTCTAGATGCCCGTAAACGTATTCATGGTGGCGCCTGGGCGGTCGGCTTTTGTGGGCGGCCTCATTTTATTCTCTTTTCTTCCCCCTCAATGTACATTCTCGGCAGTTGGACACGTCTTGTTACGAGAGACGGAGACCCAACACGATGTTACGCGGATTTTGGAGTTCTTCAGGGAGGATAACTGCTCTCATCATCCTTCTCACGCATTCCAACAGGTGGTTGGGCAGGCATCAGGTATCTATGTCAGCATCCTCAATGGGCTAACCATTTGTGGTTTTCTTCTCTATTTTTTCTTCTTCTTCTTCTTCTTTTCCTCTTTTTTCTTAACACATCTCTTGATTCTTTCTTTTCTCATTTTTCTTTGCAGGATATCTCCGCTCTCCTGCCGATGCCCATGTCCATGTGCTTGTAGGCCAAGCTTCGGCTAGGCTGAACCTGCCTAGGTCAAATCGCAGACGGGGGAACGGTGGCACAGTCAGCTAAGACGACAGAGAAATCTAAAGACGGGGAGAGAGATGTGGGTGGCGGATTTTGGGCTTCTTTTTTTTTCCTAAGCCAAGGGGGTGGGTGGTGTGTGTCTGTGTATAAGCGGTAAGGGGGTGTGCGTGGTGTAAAGAAAAAAACCTAAGCGGAATGGGAAATCTCACGGAAGGACGGTCATAGATGGGCGTACCAGGAAAGCAACTCGGGAGGAACGACGAACGATGAAATGCGCGGCGCAGATGGCCCACCAGATAACGCTCAAGAAGTGAGGCCGGATACTCGCAAACGAAGGGATGAGAAACAAAAACGGAAAAAGACTTCGGGAAAAAAAAAAGGGGAAAGGCCACCGAGTTGCGTGAGAGAGAGTTTGTGTGTGTGTGTGTGTGTGTGTGTGTGTGTGTGTGTGTGTGTGTGTGTGTGTAGGATGGGGGCGGGGGTGGGGGGTTGGTGTTGTACGTATGTACGTGTGTATGTCTCTCTTGTTTTCCCTGTCGTAGAAATCATGTATACCTATGGTATTGTAGTAGATCAGGCCTGGATGCTCTCACGAGCTTTGCGTCGTTGCGCAAGAAAAAATTGGGTGGTGGGGTTCATCTCTTGTTTTCTTGTTCTTGTTTCTTCTATTCGTTTCTTCGGGTTCTTCTTTTCTCCCTATTTGTCATTTTGTTTTTTTGGTTTTTTAGGGTTTTTTTTTGGTTATTCTTCTGCCCGAAGTAACTTCGGCAGCTGTATGTATGTACGCACGTACCTGTCTGTACCTTGTTACCATCGATCAAAAGAGAGACGGATGATGCATAGACAATGATGCGCAATGCAGAGCAAGGCAGCCGCGAAGCCACCAGATGCCGGTTCAGAATGCCGTGCAAGTATGCAAGATACGCCCGGGGGGTGTGAGATATGCAGAGAAATTAAAGAAAGAAAGAAAAAAAGAGCGACTAGCGAAGAAAATGTAACCCAGCTTTCTGCTCAGCTAATTCAGCCGTCTTCTTTTCCATGGTTGTTTGCTTTGGTAGGATTGCCGGCCAGCTCGGCGTTTGATGACTGTTGGACGTCGAACAAAGTGTGGTTGTTGGAAAAAGCGCTAGCCTCGGCCGGCGCCTCACCGTCGATCTTTCTGCCCTACGCTTATTTGATAAGAACAATAATGGGCAATATGCGGGCAAGGTCCCTTGAACATGGCCTTGTAAGCCTCATGCGGGTGATCAAATGGCGGGCACACACCATAACGCAGTTTTGGGAGAGAGGGGTGGGCGGCGGTCAACCTGACCCACCGCCGCCGCCACGCGAGAAATGCGGGCTCGGAGGCCCGGGCAAATGGATTGGAGGAAGGCAGTCCGGGGCAGACGTCGGAGAGGGGGGGGGGAGGGGATGAAGGCAAGGGAGACGTAGGAGAGAGGGGGAAGGGTGGCACCTGATCGCAGAAGTGATTCCTGCCCAATCGGCCTCTCTAGGGCTGGCTGTGATAGGCGGTGTATGCGCCTTACCAACAAGATTGACTGGTCGGCTTGAAAATGACGACCGTGTTAATCTGCGCCGATCTCCCGCCTTGGAGAAGGAGGCTAGTGACGCAAGATGGAGAGCAGTCTACTGCAAAGTCCAGACCGCATCGAACCTCTGGTCGGGCCTATCAGCCCAAAGACCAGACGTGACTCTCCTCCGCAACTTGGGAAGCTTTGTTGGACCCTGGAAAGGTAGGCCGATCTTAGCTTTACACGGAAATCTGTCGGCTCCTCTCTCTGGCCAGCCTTCGGAGGCCTGTCTGCGGTGCCCTACGGTCAGGCAGCAATCTCGACCTGACAGTGATTATGAGGGAGACAGCGGCATCCGGGGCCTGTGGCTTGTCGTTATTAGGTTGCCACGCTCGGGCTTGTTCATATGACATTGTCAGACAAGAACCTTCGTCAAAATCGGTGGGCCAGTAAGTCAGCCGCATGTTCCCGGGATTCCGTTTGTGGCCTGCGGATGGGCGCGGGAAGCGACATCTGCAGGACAGCTTTTCTGCAGGGCATCGCAACTTTTTTCTTTCTCATGTCAGCTCAGCCGTTCCCTACATACGCGATGTGAGACTATGGGCGGCATGGGCGTTTGCAACTCGACAAAGCTAATGCAGGTTGCTGGCTGAAAGTGTGGCCTCCCACTTCCCGCCTGCTCACACTTGCTCGCAGCTGCGAGATGGGATCAAGCCCCTCCAGCTCGCAACAGAGTGACAAACGGATCGAGGCTTGCGAATTCAATGGACTTTTGCACGTCGTCCCACAGACCGGATTGCCCCGCGATCCCCGCCAGTCCTGGTCGCCAAAAATCTGTAACACGAAGTTATAGTAATGCATGCTGGAAAAGCAAGGTAATCAATTTTCAGTCTGGTAGGACCAACCTTAGAAGCCAGAAATGTATGAATCCCAGCAATGGATAGGTCAGATATGAGTAGGATAGTACCGCGGTATGACAAGTGACCAGGACCTTGCATGAGGCTGGTCGACTGCTTAGAGACGAGGTTTTGGTTCCGTCTTATTTGATGTCTCTGAAGAGTAAGGGATCATGGGGTCCGGCTGCTTGGGACCTTCCGTGTTAGTGCGCATTAGCGCTGTTGCTTATTGGTCGCACATACTGACTTATTTGTAGTGACATATTGAGGCATGAGCATAAGAAGACACCTGAACATAGCT